TTTTGGTCCCTCTCTAGAACATCTTTCAGTATCGTGTGTAAGGTTGGCTTTGTCATCGCGAAATTTTTTAGCTGTTCTTTGTCATGGAAGTATTTCACTTCTCCATCAAACTTTGAGGTGCGGAGTCAGGTGCAGGAAAGGGGGCATGTTAGCGTCCACAACAGGGAGCACCCTTTTGTGATTCCTTGATTTCCACTGCAGAATGAATACACCAAGGTCCCAAGGACGAGCCTTGCCACCAGCGTGCCTTCCTGCAGGTCTGTGTCATCCAGCGAAGATGGCCCCAGCAGCCACTCTGGCCGCTCCCAGCAGTCAGACAGAGAGGCCACTCGAAACGTGCAGGAAGGCATCAGGTATCGAATCCTCCACCTGTCTGAGCAGCTCAGAGTGGAGAGGGCCAGTCGGGATGAGAACACGAGGATTTACCTCAAGGTGGTGGCCAGTGCTGACCGTCACCAGGCCGCGCACATCCGGCAGGCCTTTGAGAAGATAAACCAGCGCACCTCGGCCTCCATCTCGCACATTGAATGCAGGCTCCGCCAGTGTTGCCAGCAGCTCCTGGAGCTGGAGGGACGAAGGCCCAGTGGCCTAGCCCTCAAGGCAGAAGACAGCCTGGACAATGTCCAGCAGCCGGGTGGTGCTGTTGGAGCCGATGCTCCCGAGAGTTACGTCTGCAGCCCGCAGCGGCAGCGAGAACTCCTGCTGCACAGGGCAGAAGAGCAGCTGGAGGTGGTCAGGAGCTCGTGCTTGAGCTTGCAGGGGGGCTATGAGAGCCTCCAGGATAGGTATCTCTCAGACCTGCCCGAGTCACTCGAGTCCCTTCAGGAGCAGAGGTACAGGTGAGCCGAGCCCCTTCCCTCCTCTGCCCTATAGCCTGTGCGTGTTTGTGTGTGGCCTGGGGAGGGAGCTGGAGCTGGGGATGTGGCCTTGCAGAGTCAGGGAAGGGCAGGAGGAAAGAGCACTCTCTGTTGCTCCTAGTGGCTGGGCCCACCCTGTGGCCCCAGACCTGTCTCCTCCATTGCCGGCCATAGGGTTTCAGCAGCACAGTGGTCAGAGTGAGCCAGCCCTGACAAGGGTGGTGGGAGATGGGCAGGGGACAGTCAGGTTGGAGTGCATGTGTAGGGGAGACTCAGTGAGGAGGGGAGAGGGACATGCAGAAGCTGAGAGAGATCATGCTCAGAGCCCTGGGAGGGACTCAGCCACATGGGGTAGGGCCTGTGAGCTTGGGCCTCTTGGAACACTATGATAGGATGTTTTCAGATCCTCCGGGAAAATTCCCAGTAGAGGAATGGCTGCATTAAATAGGATTTCCAGTCCAAGGTTTCTAAGGAGTCTCCACACTGATTTCCATAA